TTTAATTATCACAAATATCAGATCAGGTATTACTTCTTTCTCTGTCATTTTCAACTTTTAGGTGTTTGATTTGGAATATCACGTTTTCTAGCTTCTTTCTTTGTCATTTTCCCTTATACATGTGCTTAATAATGAGCAAGATTGCACTAAAATAAAAGAATTATAGGTAAAATTGAACTGAATAAAATGTTATGAGTAAATATACACCACTAAAAAGATTGAGATGTTAGATACACCTAAAAAATAAGTTCAGAAGTAAACTTGCACATTTACCCCTTGTTTTCAACAAAGAGTGGGTCACCATTAACTTTTTACACTAATATAAAACATGATAAGTTAAGATAAACACACATCTGGCCCCTTGATTTTATTTTCTAAGTGTATCTATCACCCCAATCCTTTATATAGTGCATTTAGAAAACTAATCTTTTTTTTTTTAATGTGTGAGGCTGGACGCACCAAAAAAAAAAAGGTATTGGATGCATCATTAAAAAAAAAAGGGTGTTAAATGCAACTAAAAATAAGATCCAAATACTAGGTGTATCTTTATCCTATAATATATACCGGGTATGAGTTTACGCATGGTGACTTTTTTCACAAGAACAGAAATATCACGTCCATTGCATTTTTTGTGTGGGTCCACTTTGTCCAGGCGTCACTCATCTAGTCTCTCTCTAACTTTCGGTCTTCTTGTTCTTCCTCTCTCCTTCTTATCCCTTGGTTTTCTCTCTCTCTCTCTCTCTTTTTTTAAATTTTTTTATCAAGGTTTTTATGAGAATATTTATTTGGAAAAACATTTGAATAAAATAATAAACTAAACTTTTAAATTTACTGTGTCATTCAAACTTTGGCTCAATTGGAATTGGAACACCTTTATTGATTCTTAATATGGGATTAAAAAGTTTTATGTACACATATTTTTGGTTAAAAAGCCACTTATACTAAATAAACAAGTCCAAATCCAGTTCATATAAAAATTGTCGGATTTGAGCGCCTTTCGGCTTTAAGAAAAGAAAAGGAAAGGTGAGATCTAGAAACATTATACGATTCATACATTTTCTTTCTTTCATAGGTCCATAGTATTTGTCACTTATAAATATAAATATGCCTTATATTTAGAATAGAGAAAAATGTATTACATCTAGTGAAGGTGACATGGTCATGGGAATTTATGTACGGAAAGTGACATCCAACAAATCATAAGCATTGAATAGGGCGGTTTGAGTAAATAAAAAGCCTTCGTTGAAGGCTGAACCAACGTTGTAGATATCAATCGTCCTTGCAAAACATAAATTACATGGCCCAAGAAAATCATCTCCTATCAGATTCTGAAAGCTTTAAAGTGATTAGGACCCATTTGTTTTAGTAATTTTTTAAAAGGTGATTTTTACATTATTTAAGTTAAAACTTCAAAGAGTGATGGTTGTTTTAGAACTAATGGTTTGGGAATTTTTTTTATTAAAAAAAGGAGTGATGGTTGTTAAGCTCAACTAATAAAATCTTTAACCAATAATCCTCGGTGTGGATGGAAAGATAAAAAAACATACTGAAAAAGAAAATTCTCAAAAATAGTAAAATTTTTTTATTATTTATGGGAGATTTTTCTCTCATACGCTCTCCTTCCCATTTTCAGTCCATTTTCTCCTACCCAAACAAAGCTCTTGAAAAAAAAAAAAAATCACTTTTGGAGTTTGCGGAACAGAATTTATTTCACATGTTTACTTCTTACAACCTAAAATCACTTAAAATAACTTAAACCAAACACTTCTAAAAGACATAAAAAGCATTTTTCTTTTTAAAAAAGTGATTATTTTAAAAAGCGAATCCATGTAGCTTATTAAAATGCGGTAAAATAATTTTTTCTCTAAAAGTGAATATCTTAAAAACAAATTTAGCTTAATTAAAATCACTTTTTTTAAGGTTAAACAAGTGGGCCTAGATCCATTTGTATATATAGAAAAAAAAAAGTAACTAAACCCAGAATTTGCCAACATTCATAAAGCTTGTCTAGTAAGATGATCAGTATATGATATGATACAATGTTGGCTTCTGTTTTTTTTTTTTTTTTTTTCCAATTCTTTCCTCTTTCCTTTTCAAATGTTAAAATTATGTCTAAACTCATTCACTAACCACAGTGTTTTTTTGGGGCCAACATTAAGTAACTGCCAATAGCATAACTTGCCATCACTAGTACATATAGTTATCACTCGTTCCAAAAGATAATTTATCAACTAATAAGAATTGGGTTTAATAAAAAAAAAAAGTTAATTTCTCACAATATAGTGAATTAATGTTTGAGTTTACATTAAGAGATATTCTCATATTTACCGGAGGTAATAATTTGTTGTTACCGTATATGGATTAGTTAAGGGTAGGGCACACTAGACCATGCCCATCAATTTGGTGATTTGAATCATAAAAAGCAATTTTTGTTGAAACCGAACCACTCGATACGACTCTCTCATTTAGAAGACAACTTATCACCTAAATGGAGGATGACTTATATCTATGTATTTATAAAAATATTTGTTATCACCATTAATAAATTGACGAGATTGAAGCAACACCAAGAGTAGGGTACTCTTTGGACCATGCCCTTCAATATGGTAGTTTGAATTATAAAAACAGTTTTTATGAGACAACCACCTATATTAATGTCGCCAGTGCTTCAAAAGATAAGTTATCGTTTATATCAACCACTTATATTTTTTAAATTGGCAAATACTACGTCTGGTACTAGAGAGTAAATCTTATATTTAAAACTTAAAATATTATATATATTTTTGTTCTTTAACTTTATATAAGATTTTAATTTGGTCATTTAATTTTGAAAATATCTCTCCATTTAATCTAACCCTAACATTACTATAGTTTGAAATGATTTTATTTTTTTTAAATAATTAGTTCAATGTGTTGGATACCCTTTTACCTTTTAGTATAAATAATTATATTTTTTAGGAACAAAAATATGAAAAAGCAATTATTTATGAATTTTCGGAAAAGTTAACTTCTAGATGTTAATTATTTTAGGAAGTTTATTAAACTGAGTCAAGTAACTACAAATCAATCATAGTGAAGATGATGAGCATCTAGTGCTACCCGGTGCTTATTATAAGAGTTAATTCGATATTTGATTTAGTTCTAAATATAAAACTCCAATTCATTTTGTCTCCAATATTGATCTATTTTACCTTCAAGTAATCCCTATAATAGTTGCATATATTAAGGAGTTACTATCAATGGATAATTCAAACACACATGATTAATAAGAGTATTTTAAAAAAGACAACATCTATCTACAACTAATAAGTAATTCAACTAACTTCTTTAATCTCTCCAAATTAGTTAACTAGATCTTATATTAAGGATTGGAGATAGCATGATTTTTCTAAAGGAGAATAGATATATATTTCAAATTTGTGAGGTTGAGGATATAGGAGAATATTTAGGCCAAGTTCGTTATAATTATTATATTAAGTTCTGTTATCACAGTTTGCCATGTGTTCTTTTGTTTTTGTTTTTGTTGTTTACATGTGATTTAGGATTAAATGATGATATGCAAACAAATATGACACATGACAAAATGTGATTGCAGAAATTAATATAATGATTGCAAGTCACTTGATATGCTATCTCCAATTTTCATTATAAAATCTCGTTTATAAAATATAAATAAGGTCTTGTAATTAGGACCAGTGGTGGTAAGTTTTATCTTTTAAATTATAGGTCAATATAATTTTTGATTCCTCAAGTTTACTCTTATTTTGCTTTTGGTCTCTTAAGTTTCTTTTCATTTAAAAATTGATCCCTATAATTCAATAAAAACTTAGATCGTTTTGCCTCTTGAGGGATTCAAACCTATGGTTTGAAACTTGAATGACCAAAAACCAAAATAAGAACAAACCTGAGGGACTAAAGATTATATTAATCTTATAAATTTTACTTTCTCTGTCCCTATTTGTTTATTCAGATTTGAATTTTATTGTCTCTAAATACGTGTCCTGTTCTAAATTTAAAGGTATAATTACTTGTTTCCAATTAGAGCTAACAGATAAAGGTAGTTAATATTAAAAACAGTGTGTTATAGAATGGGGGACAAAACTAGGAAAAAGAAAAAGCAATTCGTACATATCACTACATCTGATTTTTACTATAAGAGATAGATAACTAATTTAAAAAGATTAAAAAAATTAATTAAATTGGTTAATTATAACAAATGTATGTTGACTTGCCTAAACTATTCTTTTTAGTCATGTACATTAGAACTAACCTTGATGGAAGCTCCTTACAATTAATATGAATATTTTAGGAAGAAAAACATTTAACATTTGAAAAATAAAATAGATTGAGGTTTTATATTTATGATCAACTATAATTTTTAACAAGCTTTTATATTAACAATAGACGAATAAGTATCATGTGATTTTAAATTGTAACCTCTACCGCAAGGAGGGAAATATTTCATTTTTTTGAGATCCAGCGGACAAAAAACGATATAGATTATAACTCATTAAAGGAATCAAAAAAATAAAGGAATCAAAACAGATTTATCATAAGAAGCATAACATTAATTTACTCACATTTATACTAGACTCGAATATTATTCTGAAAATGAAATTATTTCATTCTTGCTTTTCTCTCAAAAAAGAAAATGTTCAAAATGAGTTACAAAATATACATGGGGGTATCATGAAGTTGGGCCAGAAGAACCAAGGCCCACCTAAGCTTACCAACCCCACAGATTCCCACAAAGAGAGGCGCTTTGGAGGCCATAAAAGAGAAGATACCCACATTTCGCGCCCTGAACCATAGTTCGAGAGGGCCTAAATATTAAGCCCAAGCAATGTGCATCGTCCATACAGATATTGGTGAATACTCTCTCCATTTGTTGACAAAAAACAAAAAAAGAATGCTTCCTCCATTTCTAATTACAAGACTAAATTTCTCCAGGAATTTACAAATTTTTAGAATTAATGATTTTTTCTGAAATTCCCATAAACAATGAATTGAAAGACTTTGGCTGTCAGGCAGATCCAAGTTAGTTGAGGGCAAATCCCTAACAGAAAAAATGACAGAGCAATGGAGATTGAGATTGTCAAAGATCGTGGTGCGGAGATTGAAGAGTGGTGAGGATGATCGGTTTGCGAAAGCCAATGTCTCACTGGTAGAAGAAAGATTCAAAAGCAATCTCTACTGTAATAGCGTCAATTCGGGAGCTCTGTTTTTTCGATCCAAAGACGGTGAGCCATTCAAGGTTAAGTTGGAGCTATCTTCATGGCTTATGCATTCGCTAACTCCAAGGTGGTACTGGTATAGTGATGAAGGCTTTCTGAACCTAATATCTCTAAGGTATGCTAATTCCTGCTTGGTCCTGATTTTGTTTGCTGAAATTTTGTATCATCTTGAAGAGCTGGAATTGGTTGAGGAGAGCTTCTGAAATATACAACAGCTATCCTCTACATGGGAAAGAAATGGAAGGAAAGGAGAGTCTAATGAGCCTAGATTTGATTTGGAATGTAATTAGAAATGGAAGGAAAGGAGAGTCTAATGAGCTTAGATTTGATTTGGAATGTAATTATCCATCTATTTGCTATCGCTTTAGCGGAGAATCTAATCTGGTTCTTTTATGTTGATTATGAGGATAGTTTGTGGCTGGAATACTGCTCTCTCACTAATAGGGATGGATCTGTCATGGAACTAGTATTACCTTTGTATTTTTGGTTTGCCTTTATTATTTGCAAGAAAAGAAATTATGCAAACTTGGGACAGATTATTCTAAAGAAGCAGGATGATTTGAGATGGGTTCCACCTGGAGAATATGATTGTCTTCTGAAGTCTCTGGTTTTATCTTTTGTTATAAATAGAGTGTTGTGGTTAGATGTTGGTGCTCTTAGGCTGAATGATGTATGGACTAGTTCCTGTATGCTGCTTGTCCTGGAGGTCCATTTTGAATTCCAGTGCATTCCTCCCTCTCTTGTTTCAAGGGAGTGGATTAAAGCTGTGATTGAAGATACAGCATTGGCGTCAAAGAAGTTGGGCTCATTTGTTGGGCAAGTGTCAAGACTACCACCTTTTATAGCCGTTTTCTTGTTCATTGAAGCATTGGAAGTTGGCTTGCATTATTCAGCTGCAGAGTGTTCCATTTTACTTTCATTTAGAATTCTTATTTTGTGTTTTGTTGTTGACACTTTTTGGCCTTAGAGCCAGTTTTTTTTTTTTTTGTTTTCTGGTTTTTGTGTTAATGTTCTGTAGACTTTTTTTCCCCTTTGAATGATATGAATACATTTCTTTGGCCAAAAAAAAAAGAAAAAAGAAAAGACTGTGGCTGTCTAGAAGTAAAGTTAAGAAAAATGTAATGAGATGCATAAAATGTAATATATTATAAATATAAATTGAAAATATTTTTGAGAATATTAAATTACCACTATACAATCAATTTTTTTATCATTTTTTATTTGAGTAAAACACATTACCTCTCCTTAATTTTAATGAAAGTAGGTTAGACCCCGCGTGATGGGCGAGGATAATAAGTTCAAATATTATTGAATGAAATTTAAAATTATCAGATAAGTGAATTCCTAAAAATAAATTCACAATATCCGTTATTAAAAAAAATTATATGCAAAACTCTTACAATATTAGCTAATAAGTAATAGATTTGCGCAATGTATGGCTGACAATGTGTTGGGATATAACTCCTATGCTTTTAACTATAAAATCTACTCAACTTATTTATGAAAGTTGAATTAGTTAAGTTCATAATTTTCTATTATTACATAAAAAATGTGTTACTTTTCCTAAGAGTGTGCACAACATGAAGGACAATTGCGTTAGACCCAATGTTTTTATGATAACAAAATTAGAGAAGAATTTATTTTGTAGGGAACTTAATTAATTTTAATTATTAATGAAATGTTCTTCGAACGTTATTATCTTTAAAAGCCATTTAATTGGTTCATAAGTTTTTAAACGTTTTCACTGATGCTAAGTATTCAACTTGCATAAGTTCAAAGTATTAATAAAAGAAAAAGGCCTCATTCTTTATACGAGTTTATCTTTCTCCTCTTTGAGTATTTGACTCGAGTTCACTAGGAACATGCTAAAATTCGTTTTTGACTCTGTCTACTTGAGTTCACTTCAAAGTTTCTCTTTTTACATTTGAGTATTAGACTCAAATGTATTCAAAATAAAGATCAAGTTAGAAGTGACTCCAATCCTATTCGAGTTAGGCTAAACTTCTCATGTTTATCTTCATTTAAAGCTCTCACCTACGTCAGACACAAGTTTCAATGGAAAAAAACACTATGTCTAATGGATATTTTTAGAGCTAAACTAGAATAGCATATGCATTGAATGAAGTAAAAGAAAAGAAGAACAACAAGAGATTACAAGCTACAAAAAGAATATTCATTGCAAACATTCTCTAAAAAATTTATGAGTTTCAATGCTTAGCATTTACTCTGTTTTGAAAGAAAAGCACTCCATTGTTATAAATTTTCATTTATTGTGTAGAATTGTGGGATTCTAAATAGGATTACTCTTACATGTTGCAAAGGGTAGTGATCGCCTCAAGTGTTGAGGTGTTGCCTTTAGTACATAGGTGGTTATTGTGTTGTGGTACCAAGAGCCCACTAAATCTTGAGAATATAGTAAAACTCTCAAGTGGAGCCTAGGGGCTAGATGTAAGTCAGGTTGAACCGAATAAGTATAAATTGCTATGTGTATTTTCTCTTACTCTTCATTTAAGTGATAGGAGATATCTTCTCTGCTCTACTTTGTTTATATTAATCATGTTTGATTATTTTATTACTTGCAAAATTTTATAACATCTAACTCACCCCCTCTTGGGTGTTCAACAATACTAACAGTATGGTGTGCTTTTGTTCATTATTTTATATTTAAATTGCTTCTTTATTTTTCTTATTACTAATTAAGTAGGTTGTTTCATTTAGCTTTTCTTTTGTATTTTGCCTATACTTAAAAAGTTGACAAGATTAGTACTAATAGGTTATAAATGATTTGATTTAATATTGATAGGTGTAATTATGTTATTAGCTGTTGTTTATTAAAAAATAGGAATAGGTTGATTTCATTGAAATTGTTGTAATTTGTGAGTAAGGTTCAAAGAACTTGACCGAATAATGAATTGGTCAAAGCAGTGATTTAAAAGTTAATGGGTTAGATTAGGTTTGAACTGGGGTCAACCGGTTCTAATTAAAATAATATTATCTAATTGACATATCTAAAAATATTTGGAACACTACTCCAAATTCCCTACTAGTAATAGTTTAGGATTTATGTAACACATGATAATGTTTTTGTGGGCACATCTTGTAGTGATTTGAAATAGTGCAAATAAGAACATGTATTGAAGAACTTTCTAATAGCAATGAGATAAGTGTCTCAATTTCGAAAAGAATGCATAAGTTAGGAGGAAGCTCTGTCTCTCGAAAGGCTTAGGCATGGAGATCTGAATTCTTTTCCTGATCTCGCAAACAGAGATTCCTTCAATTAACAAAGAAAAATAGATAGATACCCCTCTATTCAATCTGATCAATACCTATCAGATTTGGATTTTGAAAAGTGCTTGGCAAAATATTGCAATCATCGAACATAGGGGCAACTAGATCTATTGATTCAATAGAATTTCAAGTTCTATATGTGAAAGGAGAAAAGCAAAAACCAAAAGCTATAATGAATCAAAAATCAAGAGGATTTTCAATAGCTGATGAATACTTTTTGCAGATTTGAGATCCTGTCCTTGGGAATTAGTTGAACTGGGTGCAGGAGATAAAGGGAGGAGAAGCACGAACTAACAAGAGGGTATGATTCAGACATGCAAGATTAGACTTAAAGTGAGGTAAGTCCCTACTACTGGATTTCGCCTCTCTTTTTCTCTGTTTGCTCCATTTAGGATGAGATAACAATGACTAAAAATCTGATTGAAGATGGGAAATAAAGAAACTGTACAGATACTACAGTTAAGTAGCAGGGGAGGGTGGAATAGAGGCTAATAAGCTTGTTCTATGATTAGCTGTTCATGAATGTTTTTTTTTTAGCTAATTTGCTACTGAGTTGAACAAAGAATGTGAATTTTACTTCTCTAAGAGCTGCACCTATGGTTTACCTCTTTTGCTAGCATCTCACCTTACTGGTGATTATTTTTAAACTCAAATCCTTTGTTTTTCTTCTTGCTATTGGAGTTACTTTTTGGGAAGGAAGTTCTTCAAGATTGAATAGTTGGCTTTTCTTTGTCAATCTTGCCAATCATAAGCTCAAAGTCATTATTACTAATAATGCTTTTGTGGTTCATAATTAGATTATGTCAGTGATTTCTATGTATAAACTTTTTCTCAGTAAGTTGGTTATCGGTGTGAGTATCCAATGGGCTCCTGGTGGAGAAAATAGGCCAGCCTCTACTTTGTAACTTTGTGTTAGCTATTATTGCTTTATATTCTACCTTATTCATGCATATACTATTCCTAATTCTCTATGGAATTTCCTCATATTTGGGTACCACTTTTGTTGGTTTTTGGATTGACAGAATAAAGTTGAAAACCTTGACACATAAAATTCTAATTTTAAGAGATCCTTTGGACCTCAAATATCTCTTGAAGATAGGTAAGAAATGTTTTTTAATAGGTTCATTTGAAGGAATTGTCAAAAAGGGGCTAGGTATATCTAGTGTTCATTAAGAGAGATCTATTAATACAAGTAACTGGGATAATGTATCCCTTAGTATTGCATAGATTGTACAAGCATTTCTTTAATACTTTTTGTGCCTTTATGATTGGTGAAAAAAATAGGTGTTTAGAGATTATCTTGGCCTTCATCTTCTACAAGTTTCTTTACTTCCTAGCATAATCTCCTCTAAAGACATCTTTTCACTAGATTAAAAAATCTAAGGCTTTTCATTATGAGATGATCAAAAAACTAATCTCAAGTAGGGAAGTCAGTGTGTTGCAGATTTAGGAAATTTTGTTGATGTTAAACCTTTGGGATATGTGGCAAATAAAGGCTAGGGTTTTCTCAACTCAATATGTCCTTCAAAGAAATGATCTCAAGACTCTTGTAACCATAACACTTATATAAGGAGATAGAGGGTGATAATTCTTCTAATGCTTTTACAAAGACTCCTTTTGACAACTTCATATATATTTTTACATCCAAAAAACTTTTATGGTAGCCAGTGCCCCGTGATACAAACTTAGTTATTAAAACTACACCTTAACCTTTTTTAATTATCATTCACCCCTTCTTGGGTAACCTGTTGTTCTAACACTTGATATCCGAGCTAGGTCTCTTGGTAAAAGACTTGATTGTCTCAAGAGCTGATCAATGGTTGGTTTCAGTAATAGTGTGTTACCCAAAAGAAGTTCCATGATAAAGCTACTCAGTTTCAACAAAGAAAATTTTACTTTCTGGAAGATAAGAATGAAGATATTTATTAAAGCTTCAGAATATGACTTGTGGGATATAATAAAAAAAGGAAACTATGTTCCAACCAAGGTAGAAAATGGTGAACATGTTCCAAAATCTCCCTGTGAGTTTGATGACAAAGATAAGAGGCTAGTTCTACTTAATGACAAAGGCATCAATATGCTTATATCTGCTTTTCAAGTTCAGAAATTGCAAAAGAAATGTGAGAAGCCTTGGAGATTACCCACGAAGGTATAACGAGAGTAAAACAAAGTAGAATCAATTTCACATCCCAATTTTTAGGCCTAGGAGCCCTGGGAGTAGCCTAAAATAGGGAGGCTACCAAGCCTCTCAGAGCAGAAGTCCCAAAAATGAGAAAGAAAGTCAAAGTTATTTCAGGGACTTAACTGCAAAGTAAGAAAGTTACTAGGAGGCAAACGTGTAAGTAATGTTGAAGTTTTAAGAGAGTCGCAAGGCCCTAGAAAGAGAAAAGAGGCTATATATAGGCCAAATGTTAAGTTAGAAGCCTCAAAGAGATGTTTTATGAGGTTAAGTCTAAGTAGAGACTAAATTGTAATTTCAGAAAATTACGGCCAATAGGGATAAAAATGACAAGTATACAGAAAATTTTAGAAAAATTTTAAAAAATGGGAAATAATATTCTAAGACTTTTTTGTGAAGAGAAATGATGAAAATACCCCTGAGACAATCTAAGTAGAATTTATAAGATTATGGCTTGATAAAAAGTACACCAATTGAGATAATTATTTGAGATAGTAAGAGATCTAAAAAATATAG